GTAGGGGGCACACTCAACTTTATAAGTCAAGAGTACCCAGGAAATAAAAACTGGACTGCACCACCGTCAGGCTTAGTCCCTCAATTCATTGGCAACAACATTCACAAGATAAAAGGTATGCATAATAACATGCGACGAAGAAGAACGAAAATGCTAACCAAGCTTACTGGGGCATCAATGAGTGGGAGACAAATGGAAGCTAATTTAGGATTTCCCTGCCTGTGCCCTAGCTGACTTATGCAGTAGGCCCACACACTTTAGGAGAGCAGATCAGATTCTGAAACCACTAACCAAGCTAATTCCTAGAACATTCATTCAACAAATATTTACTGAGCGCCTTTTATGGGTAACACATCAGCTGGTTTTTGGTCTGCTTTGTTTTTTTTAGTTTGGTTTTCCTAGGGGTGGTGGGGGAGATACAAAGATGAGTTAACACAGTCCTCAAGGTGCTTAAAATCTAGTAAGGGGGGTACAGCTAGGTGAACATAGCTTCGGTCTTGGAATCAGGAGGATCTGAGTTCAAATCCAACCTTAGACACGACACAGATCGACACTTACTATCTGTGTGACCACAGGCAAGTCACTTAACCCGGACTGTCTCATCAAAATGCAAAAAGAAAAAAAGAAGAGAGAGAGAGAGAGAGAAAGGGGGGGGGGAGAGGGAGAGAAGGGGAGAGGCGGAGAGGGAGAGAGAGAGAAAGGGAGAAAGACTTGTAAAGAAACCACTCCAGGCAGGAAACTGGTAACTGCCCCATCTTAGCCAGACTACAGGGTCCTCTTTTCTTAAAAAGAAGTATACAAATAACCACAATCTAAGGTAGGATTGTGCCATGAAGAGAGATATAAATGGTACCTAAAGGAGTTAAGACTAGGAAGAGACAGCTTTTCTCACTGAGGTGAATAGGAAAGGTTCCATAGAGGAGGCAGCATTTAAACTGGGCCTTGAACTGAAGAAACCTTTATAGGTCATCTCTCCTGTAATTGCCTGATAGGAATATCTAAAGTTGGTAGTGATGTCTGTATAAACTATTCAATGACTGACTTACAACCCAAGCAAACAGAGAATCAAGCAAAAGACTGAACAGTCAACAACTTCAGATAAATACATGCTTATCCTTCCACAGGGCTCGATCCATTGCACTCTGCCAGGGTAAAACACAGTGCAGATACCAAATGTTTTTAAGTGATCAGTACAAAATTTCTACTTGCTTTTCAAATAGTTAAGACTGCAATTCATATCCACAAAAATATTTTAAAATGAAATTCAAAGGACATGCGCCTTCCTCTCATACATGCCAGGCTTAGGAAAAAAAAAAAAAAGGTTTATCCAAACAAGTAAATTATCTATTTCCTGGTTTTCTTTTTGTTTTAGAGAACCTGAAGACCAAGGCCCTACAACTGCTGTAGTTTGTTTATATACCTATATGTGTGGTTTTTAATAACTGTTATCCAGTTACATAAGCCAAGTCTTCAAGTCTCTTTCCAAGTCTTTTCACCTACAACCATTAGTAAATAACATTTTCTAAAGCCCAAGCTTAGATGGCACCCTCCTTCAGGGAGCATTGCCTGAATGCTCTTAAAAAGAAAAGATATCACAACAAACTCAATTCAATATCAATTAAGGGTCTACTATATGCAAGGCACAGATTTCTCCACCCCTAAATTTCTCATACAACTTCATTTAGATCAAATGTTACAATTTTTCATTTAGTTGTGTAAATGTGATCTTCCACACTTGATTGGAAACTTGAGGGTAGGGCCTGTGCTTTACTTCTTCCTTTTTCCTAAGGAAAAAGGCTTAGAAGCAGCTAGGTCTCCCAGTGGATAGAATGCTGGGCCTGAAGTCAGGAAGACTAAATTCAAATTTGGATTCAAACCCTTTACTAGCTGTATCCCCCTGTATTAACCTCTCTGCCTCAGTTTCCTCATCTGTAAAATGGTCATAATAATAGTACCTCCCTCCAAAGGATGTTACGAGGATCGAATGAGATAACATCTATAAAGCACTTACACAGTCCCTAGCACATAATAGGTGCTTAATAATGTTTGTTTCCTTCTTTCCCTATTATTGAATGTCTGTTGAACTGAATTCTGTGGCAAGGCTCATTATCATCGTTTATACCAAAAAAGGTATAAAATTAAGAATATTTCCCTCCCTTCTCTGCAGTGCTCACAGACTATGTGAAGTACTACACACAATACATGATAATGATGTCAGATTCAGCTGATCGACTGTCAGTTTTGCTGAGCTACTTTTTTTTTAATCTTTTAGACATTTTTGAAAATGAAAGTGATATAAAGACAAAGCATGTCCAAAAAATATTTTAAAGAATAAATGCTACAATTTCTGAGAGGAAGCTGAATTCAAGTTTGGACTAAAAGACAGTGCCCAATCAAGACTACTGAAGACTGACAATGAGGTTTGTCTCCTCTTGGCAGAGAAACACTGCAGACTATAAGAAAAGAATAAGGCTCAAGTTATCAGGCAAGGCCAATGTGTTTATTTGCCTTGCTTAACTGCACTTCTGTTAAAAGATAGAGAAGGGGGAAAGAGTCATTAGGAAGTGAGTAATATAAAAGAGAATGTCATTTTTTAAAACTCCAAATAAAAATTCATCTAAGGAATAAAACAAAATAAACTTAAAATTCAACACAACCTGTTACACAGAACCACATTAGGCAAAATGAGTATTTTAAAGAAAACTTCAAAACCATTTCTGACCCTAGTGACCACTGACACAAAGCTGATAAACACATTTAAATAAAGTTGTGATACAATATGATAAACCTAAAAGACTACAATTACCTTAACCCTCAGATTTAGATGATCCAGATGATCCAACTTAAGTTATGGGATGTAACCCACACCCTAAATTAAAAATAGTATCATGACAACATATGGTATATACATAAGTTGACCATTTCTGATGAGTGAAACAGGTTAGGTGGCCAGGCTAGCAGCCTCACCCATACAGCCAGGTTAAGACAATGATGTACAGTGTGTTAGATAAAGTTAGGACTTCCTAGTTTCACAAGGCCACAGAACCCTCTTAAGAAGTCTCACAGGGTACTAAGTCCACAGTTTTATTTACATCACTAATGAACTCTCTACAGTTGTTTCTAGGAAAGTTGCCTCAACTGCTGACTAGTTAGAACTACCTAGGACACCACCAGCACAGATAAGATTTCAACACCTCATCTACAGAGTGGCCTACTGTCATTTCAGAGAACTACTTAGTGGGCCAAAAACCTGCTTCCCAGGGAAGGGGAAGGGGGAGGGCAGGGAACTAGCAGACAGTTGGAGGAAGGGAGGCAGCACAAATAAGGTCAATGAAATTTCCAAGCTTACCTGATGGTGTTAAACAAGTCTCCAGCAGGAAAGAAAGCAGCATTCCTTCCTAGTTAGTCTCTACTCACACTCTCCCCACCCCCTCCACCATCACCCCAAAGGCAAAAGCTAAGTATGCCCTTTCTGGACAGGCAGCCAAACCCCTCTTGTATAAGGAAGGTACCCTGAAAGAGAAGGTAGGAACAGGCCATATTCTCTGTTTCAGAATCCCACCTAAAAATTTGGAAGAACATACTCTAGCCCTACACCTTTCTTCCTGAAAGGCATGGGACCCCCGGAAGCCAAAGCCTACCTTGTCTCCCTCAGTGAAGAAGAACCTGAAATTCCCTAGGAAGGAAGTTGGGGGAGGAAGGGAGGTACAGAAATAACCCTGTGAATTTCTACTGGAGGGAGGGGGGCACAAAGACAAGGAGGCCTACTTAATGAGCCTAAAAACAACCTGAAGCCCAGACCACAGCATTCTCCACCTTGCCTTAAATTTTGGTCAGAAGCAGAAAATGTCCCTGAAAATCTGGGAATGCAAAGAAGAGGATTTCTGATCCTTTATTTAAGTGAAGGACTTTTAAAAAAGGAAGAGCAAATAAATACACAGGGGAGGAAAGGTGGATCAGCAAAGGGTAGGGATCGAAGACCTGGGGTTAGGACAATCCAAAGGTAAGCTAGCACCCACCTGGCTTCCCTTAAAGAAACATTCCCTAAGAAGGGGAGCAAGAGGCACCTCTGAAAGCAACCACGGGAAATTGCACTCCTTCACCCTATGGATCTTGGGGGGACTACAACAAGGATGAGAACTGGATTCGATGGAATGGAAGAGAAACGATCCACAAACCCCACTGACCCCACCCACCGCACCCCACCTCTGCTCAGCTGTGCACTGCTGCAGCCCTGAAGCGCCAGGTCGCTGAGAAACATATGGCTGAAAGTGGGGTAAGAAACAAGGAGGAAGGGGAGCCCCCTTCCTCCAACCACAATGTCCCAGAACTGAGCTAATCTGGAAAGTCAGGATAGTCCCAAGGGTGATAGACACTGACCAGAAGCACTATAGTTCCCTTCGGTAAGACAGAACCCCAAAACCTTCGGGAGAGAGCAGTGGACAACCCCAGGAGGCCAGTAAAACCTGTGGCCTGGGGGGGGGGGGGGGGGGGGGGGGGGGGGGGGCGAGCCACGCAGACAAGGAGCCACGCAAACAAGGGGGTTGAGGCGGGGTCCAGACGGGCACCCCCAGATTCCGCGGCAGCCCCCAAAAGCTGAGCGGAGATGGGAAAAGAAACTTCACATATAACCATATGGTGGGGATGGGAAAGGAGATCACCTGCTTGCCTCCCCACGGCCGGACTAGATCAGCCCGGACAGCACCGCAGGGAAAGGGGGGGAGGGGGGCAGCCCCGAGACTACGGGGGCCCGGAAGAGGCGCCCGCCTGGCTGGGGGGGCGGGAGGAGCGGGACCCGGCGCGCGCTGGCGCTACTGCCCGGCGCGGGGCGAGGGGGGAGGGGGGAAGGGGCCCCGTGGCGCCTCAGCCCCGGCGCGCGCCGGGCTACGCTCAGTCCAGCTGAGGCGCCCCGGGGCGCCTGGGAGCCCGGGAGAGCGGAGCCCAGAGGAGGGGAGGACAGGACCCGGGGGAACGCCGGCGCCCCGAGCCGGAGCCCTCACCTGGCCGCCGCGGTAGCTCTCGAAGGCCCTCAGAGCGCTGTCGGTGAGCTTCACGTGGAAGACAGACACCTTGCTGCCGTCGCTCACCCGCCCGCAAGACAGCCCGTAGCCCCGAGCTTCCTTCAGCGCCGCCATCTTGCGACCCTCTCCCCCGGGCCGGGCCGTGCGCCTGCGTCGTAGACGCCTCGCCTCGGCCCCGCCCCTTCCCGGGGGCAGCGTGATTCATTATTCAGGAGGCACGGCCGGCGCCGAGGTCCTGTGCTGGGCTGCTCCGCTCGTGGAGGGGAGGAGGCAGCGGCAGAAGGGGGCGGGGCCTTCTGACAGCCGGGAAGGGAGGGGAGGAGGGGGCGGGGCCATGAGAACCCTGCCGGCCGGGCCTCCTGCCAGGCCGGGAGCTACTGTGGGCCCCAGGAGGAATCCAATTCCAGCGCCTCTCGTCTTCCACTTTAGAGTGGAAGCGCCTTGAGGGCAGGGGCTGTGTTTGCCGTAGGAAGCGTTTATGAGATGTTTGTTGACTGACAGACCACCCACAGAGAGCAGGTGACTTGAAGAAAGTTAGTGACAGGGCTGGGATGTCAATCATCAATCAATAAACATTTATAAAGCGCCTACTATATACCTGCCACTGTGCTAAATGCTGGGGATACCAAAAGACAGTGCTGCCCTCAAGCATAGTTTTTTAGAACAGCTAGGTGGCAGTGGATAGAAAGGGGTGGGGAGATCTGGAATCAAGAAGACCTGAGTTCGAATTCAACTTCAAGTGCTTATAGTTTCGTTGTTGATCGGTTATGACCCTGGGCGAATCACTTAAGCGTTCTTTTGTCTCAGTTTTCTCAACTGTAAAATAGGATAATACCACCTGTCTCTCAGGGTTGTGGTGAAGCTGAAATGAGATAATATTTGTAAAGCATTTAGCACAGTGCCTTGCATATAGTAGGTGCTTAATAAATGTTAGCTATTATTATTAGAGATAAAGTAAGTAGATTCGAAAGAATTGGAACTCAGGTCCTCTAACTTCAAATCCAGCACCTCTCCAAGGTAGGGCAACTGCTCTAACCAACAGTCAGTCAACAAGTATTATTTATTAAACACCTACTATGTGTCAGGCACTGTGCTAAGTGCTAGGGATACAAAGAGAAACAAAAGAGAGTTCTAAATGTTAGAGCTGGGCCTTGAAGTAAAGTAGGAGATTCCAGCAGGCAGAGCCAAGGAGGAATAGGACATCTGTACCACGGCAGGAGATGGAATGTCCGGTATGGGAAGCAGTAAGTGGCATTTTGGAGAGATCATAATGTCACCCCACCACACACACACACACACACACACACACACACCATCAGAGGGAATAACGTGCAACAAATTTGGCAAAATAGTCTGGAGTCAGATGACAAAGGGTTTGAGGACTTGGAATTTTATCCTATCAACCGAAAGGAGCTTATGAAGCTTCTAGAACAGAGCAGGGCAGGGACATGGTCAGTCAGACCTATGCTTTAGGCACATCAATGTGGGAGGAGGGAATTGGAGAGGAGAGAGGCTTCAATCAGGAGATTACTGCAATAGTATAAGCCAGTAATATCAGACTCCAATAGAAACCACTGAATTGTCTGTAAGGATTCCTGCAGGCCACATATGGACTTAGAAGACCATGCTTTACCATTAGCTATGTTTTTATTTTGTTAAATATTTTCCAATTACATTTTAATCAGGTTCAGTCTGCACTGGGAAGCATTGAGACAGCAATGTGTTTGACACCCCTGGTATAAGCAAAAAGTGATCAGGGTGTAAACTGGCTAGATCTCCCCAAGAGGTGTGGGGAAGACAGAATCAGCAAAAATTGGTAACTGCCTGGATACAGGAAATTAGGGAGAGTGTAGAACACAGGATGACTTCTACTTTGCAAACCTGGGTGAATGGAAGAAATGTGATTGGAACGGACCTTAGATGGCACCTGGACAAATGGTTATTTGTAAAGTAACCAACTGAATTTTACAGAAAGGAAACCAGAGTCCAGGCAGGGGAAGTTCATGGTTACTCTCTATGTCTTGACAAAGGTTCCTGACTTTTCTATGAGCCCAGTCCCTCTGGCAGCCTGGGAAAGCCTAGAAACCCCTTTCTTAGGATGTTTTTAAATCATTGAAGGAAATACCAGGTATTAGTTATAAGCTAATGAAAATGAAGGTGTGATTTCCCACTCCCACCCCCATCCAAGTTCATGGACCCCTGCCTGAAATCTAACCACAGAGCCCCTGGGAATCTGTGGACCTCAAGTTAAGAAACCCTGCTCTATTAGGATGGGAGGTTTTTTGTGAACAGGGACTATTGCTTCTCCTTCTGTATCTCCAGCGCTTAGCAAACTACTTTGCCCATAGCAAGTATTCAGTAAGTGCCTTATCATTCATTCACTCTCAATTTCTTTTTTTTTTTTTTTTTGCCTTTTGGTGAGGCAATCGGGGTTAAGTGACTTGCTCAGGCTCACACAACTAGTGAGTGTTGTGTCTGAGGCCAGATTTGAACTAGGTCCTTCTGACTCCAGGGCTGGTGCTCTATCCACTGTGCCACGTAGCTGCACCCCACCTCAACTTTCTAATAAGTAAAATAAGATCAGAGGATTTAGAAAGGGAAGGGGTCTGGAGGTGGGGTGGTGGGGTGTTGTTATTCAAACATAACCCTCAGGCCCAGAGAGGGAGAAGTGATTTGCCCAAGGTCACCCAATGAGTCAATGGCAGAGCTAAGACTTTATACAGCTGATTCATTCATTCCAAACAAAACTATTAAGCATCTACTGTGTGCAGTACCCTGTACTAGGCCAGAGACAAAGTTAAGTTAACACATGATCCCTTGCTCTCATGGAGCTAGGTCACAGACAAATGGAAGGATATACCACCAATACATATAGCAATAATATAACAACATTATATTATGTTTACATGATGTCCAAGGGAAGTCATTAATGACCAGGAACCAGGGAAGAATCCTGGAAGAAGAGGAATTTGAGATGAGCCCTAAAGGATGAATAAGAATTCAACAGGTAAACACAGGAAAGGCATTTGAAGCACAGAAAACCAGCTGAGCAAAGAGATACCAGGCAGGAGGACCCCAGGCATGATGAGGAAGGAGAGGGGAGAAGGACAGGAGGAAATTGTCCGTCATAGCCAGAATATAGATTAGGTGAAGGAGAGTAACAATAAGTCTGGAAGGACAGGATGGTGCCAAGTTGTGGAGGGCCTCGAATGTCAGACAAAGGAGTTTGTACTTTACTGTTTATCCTTTAGATAAATATGTTCCTCGTCATCACTGGGGGCAGGGGAGTAGAGAGGAGGGAAGTGTGTTATCACCAATAAGCATAAACTGTCTGAGAGATAGGTGGGTCATTCTGGGATGGGCATAGAAATGTGGCCCTTGGGTGAGGCCCTTTTGGGATATCAATGAGTTCATAACAAGGCCATAACATTTGGTAACCATGAGACAACAGGAAGAGAAAATCACACAATCACTCGGTCTGGATCCACTACAAATTTGCACAACCTCAAATGGCCCTCACTGTTGTTGGGCAATCCTACTGTACTCACTGACTTACTCTCCCACTCTTCACCTCGTCTTCTCTCCTCAAACCTCCCCCCACCCTCTCAGCTGAGAACTCTGCCTCCTCTTTTACTGAAGAAAAATGAAGGCCACTCACACGTGAGCCCTCTCTTCTCCCCTCTTCCTTATCACATCACTCAAATGACTTGTGCCATTACCCCCTTCACCATTGTCTCACATGAAGAGGTGGTCCTGCACTCCCAGCCAAGGCTAAGTAACCCCTCTGCCAGCACCAGCAATACCATTCTATCCCATTTCTTCCAGCCCTTCCAAGCTCAGATACAAAATCCTCTGTTTGGTATTTAAAGCCCTTCATAACCTAGGGCCTCCTCCTTCCCTGTCTTTTTATACCCCACTGACCACACACACACACACACACACACACACACACACACACACACACGCACTACCATTCAATGACACTGGCCTCCTTGAGGTTCCCAGAACAAGACCCTCCATCACTGGGCTCTCTGGCTGTCCCCCATGCCTGGAATGCTCTCCTTCTTCATCTCTACCTCCTGGGTTCAAGTCCTCTTTAAAATCCCACCTTCTGCAGGAAGCCTCTCCCAACCCCTCTTAATTCTAGGGTTTCCAGCTGTGGATTTCCCACTGACTCTTCATATGGCTTGTTTGTGCACAGCTACTGGCATGTTGTCTCTCTATCAGAGGTCAATTGCTCCAGGGCACTGGGTCTTTTGCCTTTCTAGGTACCCCCAGTGCTTATCACAGTGGCCAGCCTCTGATGGGACCCTCTGCCTGGAGAGCAAGGCCCTGAGTTCCAAGGTTTCTCTTCCAGAAAGGGGCTTGGCACAGTCTTCTTCCATTTCCCATTGCCACTGCTTTTGGACTTCTCCATCAAATACTCACTGGGTACTTTCTTCCCCCTTCCCCCCTTCCCCCACTTTTCAGCTTCCTTTGTGTATCCTCTCCAGGTAAACTGCTTGAAGGAGGGGTGTCTTTTTTTGGTTTTTAACTCGTATTTGTAATCCCCAGCACTTGGCACTGAGCCTGGTACCTGGTAGGTGCTTAATGAATATTTATTGACTAATAAAAACCCACAAGAAAGGGTCAGTCAACAGGGGATTAAAGGAAAGAACAGAGGATTTGAGTTTAGGAAGGAACCTTAGAGTTTAATGAGTCATAAGAATTAGAGCCAGAAAGGATTTTAGGGATCATTGAGTTCTTCCCCACCCCACCCCCCCATTTATTTAAAACACATTTTATTGGTCTCTTTGGTTTTTCCATAACCTACACTTCCCAATGCACCCCTTCCCACCCCCTCCCAGAGACTCATCCTTTATGACAAAAAATAACAAAAGAAAAATAAACAGCAAAACTAAGCAGCACACTGTAACAATCTGACATAACACTTCAAGCTCCACATCCACAATCTTCCACCTCTGCAAAGCACCTCTTATCTCTTCAAGCTCGGTCATTATCACGTCAAGCAATGGTTTTGTTGTTGACTTTGTTCTTCCTGTTTACACAGTCGTAGTCACCCAGGACCAGGCTTTCCTCCTCCGGCTGCCTTCACTCAGAGACAGTTCACACCAGCCT